GGACGCGCCCCCTCTCTGCGCGCAGCCCCTTCTCCCTGCGCCCCGGCCCGAGCCCTCCGAGGAGAGCGGGACCCCTGCCCGTCCCCGGGGGCCCTGGGGGCCCGCGTTTCCCAGCGCTGCGGGCAGTGATTTGCGCCCTGGACTCCCCGCCTTGCCCAGGGGTGGGCCCTGGCGTCCACTGGAGGGGTCACGCCTGGAGACGACAGTCGCAGGACCTGGCAGAGCAGCCCCCCTTGTCCTCGGCGACCCCCCCTTGCAGATGGGGGCATTGGCAGAACTACCCTCTTGCCTGGAGCTTGGGTTCGGTGCCTTCACCTGGCCACACCCAGGCAGCAGCAGCGGGGGAGGTACCAGCCTTGTCTCCCTCCCGCAGGGGCAGAATCGGGGCGCAGAGAGGCCAGACCCCTTGCCGTGGGCCACAAAGGAGACAGAGCCAGAACTTCTACCCAGGTGGGTGCGAACCCCTAAGTCCGTTCATCCCTCACCCCTGCCCTGCCCTGCACCCCGACTGCAGGGAGTGAGGCCAATGACCAGTATCCCGGGAGGGGGCTGCAGTGAGCCAGCCTGCCCCTCCCGGCAGAAGGAACCCCTAGGGCAGCAAATGCCTCACCTGGGTGAGGGGTGCGAGAAATAGGGTGGGCTGGGGCCAGGTTAAACCCAGGAGTTGGGGGGAGCGGTGCAGGCCCCTCCAGGAACTCCCAGGCCTTTACTCAGCACCTCCTCTGGGCACAGGGGGTGCTTGTGGGCTTAGCCATGGGACTCCACCTCTCCAAGCCTCAGTTTCCTTCTCCGTCCCCTGGGGTTAGGCACGGCGCCTACCTTTCAGGGTTGCTGAGATTAAACGAGATAATCTCTATGAAGGCTTAGTTTAGTGCCTGGACCGAGCTATAACCCCCGGTGTCCCCATCGTGCCCCTCTGAGAGCACTTCTCTGTCCTGGACACCTTTAGGCCGAGGTCGGGCAGAGCTATCTGAGATCTGCAGTGTTTCCGGACAACCCCCCCAGCAGCCCAAGCTAATTGAGTAAGACCCAGGCCGGGGGTGGTGGCAACTTCTCCCTGCTGTGACCCTTTGGAGGAAAGGCTGGTGGGAGCAAGCATTTGAAAACCTTTGGGCTGCAGCTTACACAATTCCAGAACCGCCCTGCATTCCCCAGGCCCTCCCCCCACTGGTTCGGCAAGGCGGAGGAAGCCGGGGGTATTCTCACTCCCAGACCTGCTCTCCTCATCCTGACACTGGGCCCACAGCAAGTTCTGCCCCTCAGCGTGCATTTGGCTGGTCCCGTCTCAGCCCCCAGGTCCTCAGCATTGAGTCTCCAGTCTCCTCTCCTGCCACACTCCTCTCACTCCGCTACCCATCGTAGCCACTCTTCTCTTCTTGGAGATGCTGAGTTCTCTGCTGTCTCAGGGCCTTTGCACGTGCTCCTGCTCCTCCTGGGAATGCTCTTCCCTGCCACCTCCCTGCAGTTCAGGGAAAGACTCCGAATCCTGCCCTAACCAGCCCACTGTGGGAGCCACACTTCGCCTGCTCTCATGCATTACTGGTTTTCCTTCCCATGCTCTGCCCTGCATGATGTTACCTTGCTTATGTGTTTCCTTGGTTCCTCATTAGTCTTCCTGGCTAAAATAGCCTACCGGGGTCCTGATTTTTTTTATGCCCCTTCACCTTGGATCCCCCAGAACCCAACATCACGCCTGGCACATGGTATAAGTTCTGATAATTTTGTACAGTTGCAAGCAGTGTGTGCAACCTGAAGGGTTCTACTTCTCATTGCTTAATAGCATTCTTTCTACATTTCTACACAGACCTCAGAATTGCCATTCCTTCTAACTGCCCGTGGCCTCCTGAGCTTTTCCCTAACCGGCCTGTGCGCTGTTTCCAGGTTCTAGACGTAATACCAACTTTACTTTCAACATTTTTGTACAAATTGCATGTGGGTTTTTTTGCTACCAAGGGATGTCTTTGAGATATAGTTCCCAAACCACTCGAGTCAAAGATGGGATCATTCTGAAGGCACATGCTACGTACCATGTGATGGCTGTTTAAAAAAATCATCCCCAGCAATGTATGCAAGTTTTTCTACAGCCCTCCAAGCATTGGGTGTTCTCATTTTATCTGTTTTGTCTGTTTTAATGGGGAGGCCATGGTAGGTTTAAATTTTCTGTTGCTTGAATTATTGAAGCTGGGTCTTTTTCGATGTATGTGCTAGTTCTGTTTCCTGTCTTGTGAAGGAAGGAAATCTCCAGGGCACCAATATTCTTTCCTTTACCCTGTGGCGATAATTCCACTTGAGCCCATCTAATGAGAGCAGGGGGAGAACAGGAACCCACAGAGCCAAAATGTGCTGGTTGCAGAAACTGCTCTGCCAACCAAGCAGCAAAAAACTCTTTGAGGGTCCCTTAGCATGGTCCTGTGGGGAGAGAAAAAACTCTTTTTTTTTTTAAGTCTTTGTGAATTTTTTTTCAAACTGGTAATTTTTTAAATGATAAAAGTAGCACATGGTATGCAGAGTTATTCATTGGAACATGGGGCAGCAGAAGATTGGGAAACAACCTACATGTCAATCGCTCGTGGGGCTACACACGTTCCTCCGGGTAAGTCCTGCGCCCTCATTCCAAGCAGTGCACTTGATCTCAAACACACTGATATGGAAAGAACTTGGAGATACTGTATTAGTCTCCTGTGGCTGCTGTAACAAATGACCACAATTTGATGCCTGAAAACAACATAAGTATATTTTCTTAGAGTTCTGGGAGTCAGGTGTCTGAAATCAGTCTCAGTGGGCCAAAATCAAGGTGTTGGCAGGGCTGTGTTCCTTCTGGAGGCCCTAGAGGAGCATCCATATCATTGCTTTTACAAGCTTGCAGAGGCTGCCAGCATTCCTTGGCTCATGACCCCTTCCCTCCATCCTCAAAGCCAGTAGCGTAAAACCTTCAGATCTCTCTCTGACTCCAGCCTCAGCTTCCATGTTCACATCTCCCTCTATGTCTGATTCTCATTACCTTGGGTCCACCTGGCAGGGGTGGGGGTGTGTCTTAGGATCCTTTATTTAATCCCATCTGCAAAGTCCCTTTTGCCGCATAAAGTGACCTATTTACAGGTTCTGAGGACTGGGATTAGGATGTGTGCATCTTCAGGGGTCTCTTATTCTGCCAACCACACCTTAAATGGAAATAAGCGAGGTTCAGAGCAGAGTGTTGGGCTCACATTTGTTTAAGGAAAAAGGAAAGAGGAAAAGAATAAATGTTTACGGGCTTGTGAAGGCTGCATAGGAAACTAGTGAGAGTGGCTGCTTCTGGGAAGATTGGGTAGAAAAGAAACTTGTCATAGTATTTCTTTTTGTGTTATTTAAATTTTTTACTACATGCATATGTCACCATGTTAAAAATAATCTTTAAGAAGTAGCACACAGTCATTGTAAAAGTTCAGGCCGTCCCGATGCTGAGAGAAGGAAAATTCCCACCCCCCAAGTCACTCCCTTTTCTCCAGCTATAACCACTGTGAAGAGTTTGGCTCTATCCTTGCAAACTTTTCAAAAAATGCATATGTAATTTTTTCACATAGGTGGGCTCATACTCTACACACTAGTTTGTAATGTGATGGCGGGGAGGTTACTATAGTGTTTACATCTTTTCTTATCCATATAGGAAGGTGTAATAGCACCAGAGTCTCCCACTGCTCAGATGACCGTAACTGACTTAACCAGACCCCTGTTGATGGACTTTCGGATTCTTTGCTGCTTTTCACAGCACTCACGACACTGTAATCTATACGTCTGGGGTTTTTAAACTGGAGCGAAATTCATATAACAGGATTAAGCATCATAAAGTGAACAGTTCAGTGGCATTTAGTGCATCGACAGTGTTGTACAATCTCCACTCTAGCTAGCTCCAGAAGATTATCATCACCCCAAAAGGATACCGTCCCCATTAAGCTCTCACTCCCCATCCCCCTCTCCCCCTCCCTGGCAGCCACCAGTCTGCTTTCTGTGTCTACAGATTTGCATATTCTGGATATTGTATATCAGTGGAATCATGTCCTCTGTGATGTTTTGTGTCTGGTTCTTTCACTTAGCGTAATGTTTTAGAGGCCCGATGGATATCGTAGCACGTGTCAGTACTTCTTTTTTTTTAATTAATTTTTTATTGAGGTCTAATTGGCATACAAAATTCTTTTAGTTTCAGATATATAACAGTGATTCAATGTTTATATATATTATAAAAGTATTTTTTTTTATGGCTGGATGGCATTCTATTGCATGGATATAACATTGTTTATCCACTTATATGTCCATGGACACTTGGGTGGTTTCCACCTTTTGGCCATGAATATTTTTGTGTACCTATATTTGACTGGGTGCCTGTATCAATTCTTTTTTTTTTTTTTAAGGTATCTTTATTAGATGTCAGAGAGAGGGAAGGAGAGAGAGAGAGAGAGAATCATCAGTGATGAGAGAATCATTGATCGGCTGCCCCCTGCACACCCCCCACTGGGGATTGAGCCTGCAACCGGGGCCTGTGCCCTGATCACTGGGAATCAAACCACGATCTCTTGGATCAGAGGCTGATGCTCAACCGCTGAGCCACACCGGCCGGGCTGTATCAGTTCTTTCGGGTACATACCCAGGATGTACGTCCTTTGAGCTTTATTATTTATTATTTTTAGTTAATCAAGTTTTTAAAAAATTTGTAAGGAAGTATTACAAAGCACACACGAAGGCAAATGATAGCAGGATGACAGATCTGGACAATTTTTTTTTTATTTTCCAGATCCGGAGACGACAGGAAAATGTCTACGTGGGATGAAAAGGTAAGTTGATTCTGGGACCTCCCAGCCTTGAGAAGATCACTGCTTGGCCTTTCTAACAGGACTGAGGGAAAATGCCAGTGAGTTCCAGTGATGATTACTAATCAGAGAAAGGCAAATGGAAATAGCTCGTATTTTCTTCATTTTTAGTTTCCTATTAAATTAAGCAGATCGAAAAGAGCGAGCAGAAGTGCTCCAAGCCGGTGGTTCTGTGATGGGTCAACCCGCACAGCTGTTCTGGAAAAAAATAATTCACGGTGTGTATCAGCAATCATGAAAATGTTTGTGATCAAACCTGGTCGTCTCACTTATGGGAAAGGAAATGACCCATAAAAAGGAAAAAGGTACAATTTTGGCGCCGTATTTCTTAGCACATCAGACACCATAGATTGTAGACGCACCATTATTTTATGTACCACGAAGAAGAAAAAACAGTGCGGCCATTTACTGTGATATAACGTGACAGCGCTGAAACTGGTCAATTGTAAAACACATTCAGATTTCAGAAATGTTAAGATGTGTGAAAATGTGGTCTTCGAATTGGTGATGAAGGTGCTAAAAATGAGGAACAACCAGAAAAACGCCATCGTGAGACCAGTGACTCCCTGTTAACTTTCTCCACCATTGAGAAGGTATAAATAGGTCTGGTGCCTGGACCTAGTGGGAAAACAGGGTGCAGAATTGTCTGCAGTCTTTGATGTAATTGTAAAGGACTTAGATCAGGGACAGAGAGAGGCGGACGGGATGGGTAGATGATGGGAAGTGTGGTGTGCTGGGACTGTGGTGAATTTATTTCCTTTTGGCCCTGTTTTCACAGTGTTAACACTGAAGGGAACTGATCTAGGGAAAGGTCTGCTCACTGGGGAAATGACAGCAGGTGAAGCCGGGGGTGGGGTCCGGGTGAGTTGGGGTCTGATGGAGCCAGGGAGCTTCTGGGACATGTCCCAGGGGTGAGGCGGGTGTGAGGCCACGGACACAGCGGGAGAAGCAGAGGGTTGGAAGGCAGAACCAAGGACACCTGGGGACCTCCTGGGGTCGGGAGCCTGTTTGTCATCACACAGAGGCCGTTTGAGAACCTGGCCCAGCGGCATTGTGGGGAGCTGGGGAGATTGGGCCCGGGCCACTTGTAGCGACTAAGCCTCTTAACTGATCCGAAGAACAAGTTTCTATCAGTATTATGGAGTTAATTGTGTTTTTTAAAAAACTGTTTTAATAGGATTGCTTTTAGGAGCTTTGTGATTTTCCAGCTCTCCTGGTGTTCGAGAGGAAAACAGCTGTGTTGTAGGAGAAACTGGTGGGGTTTTTAGCCATGATTCAGACCTGGTTTGCTGTAGCCAGCTCTGCTGAGGGGCTCAGCAGGCTGGGGACACCTGCCCTCCTCAGAGTCCCTCTCTGCCCCTCCCCACCTCTCTGAGCCTCACTCTTCCTTTTCTGTAAAACGGGAACAGTGGCTCCCTGCTAGAGCTGCGGCGAGGATGAGCCAAGACTTCGTGGACAGTACTTGGCGGGATGCCCAACTATAGCAGACACTTAACCCCCGGGGGCTGTGCACTTGATCATGAGGACAGGCTGGGTTTGCAGCCCATCTGCTGACCTATTCCTCCCCTCAGATGACTGCGTGTCATCGGCCACCTCTGGGGAGCCTGGGACCCAGGGGTGCTTAGAAAGCCTTGTACCCCTTTGGCTTATTTCTCACAAGGTCTCCGGAGACTCTCGGTTCATTCATGGGGCTGGTTCTCAACCTGGCTTGCTCATGGGAGATCCCAACACCCAGGCCACCCCTAGACCGACTGAATCACTGTCTTGGGGTCTGGGGCCCAAGCGTTGGGGTTCTTGACAGGGTGTGGGTCCACTGTGCAGCCAGGACTGAGAGCCACTGGTTAGACTGTGAGGCAGGAAAATTGGGTGCCCTGCACTCTGCTTGTCCTGTTCTTTCCCTGGCGGGACGCATCGCTGAGACACTGGGGGATGGTGTCACCCAGATGACTCATTCACACTCTGGATAGGTCTCAATTTCTAGCTGGATAACTGCACTTTTCCCCCCTTTCTGTGCTTTCGTTTTCATTCTGTGCTTTTGTAAACAAAAGGAGGGGGCTCTGGGCCACGCAGCCTGGGTCAGAAACCCACTCCCTATTTCTCACTGGCTGTGTGACCTGGGCACGGCGCTTGGCCTCTCTGTTCCCCGTTTCCTCACCTGTAAATGGAGGTTCAGGCCCCCACTTCGTGGAGTGTTTGTGGTGGGTTATAAAGGGCTTCGCACCGAACTCAGAAATGGCAGGTGCTCTAGTTGCAACCACTACGATTTCCATTACCGTGGATATTACTTCCCACATCGCCTCCACCCAGCCTCGTGATCTTGCTGGCTTGGCAGACTCTTAGCAAGACAGGAGGGATCCCGATCCTGCAGGAAAAGGAGAGAAATGTTGCAGCGCTGGGCTGGATGGGGGGCGGCGGCCTGCAGTCTGTCCCCTCAGCCCATAAGCGGCAACCCCCTCCCCCAAAAGCTGGTCAGCCGTCACCGGTGGCTGTTTCTGTGAACCTCAAACTTCCTCCCCACCCTAGAGAAGGAAAAACTGTTACGCTTATTTAAAGACTTCCCTGATTTTAAAAATAGGCATTCCTCAGAACACACATCCCCAGGGGCTGGGGGGCAGGGGCCTGCGGGGGTCAGCAGCTTGCTGCTGGGAGCCTTCCTGCCGGGATGCAGGGATGCAGGGATGCAGGGATGCAGTGGGCCCTCCAGGCTTGTGTAGCGGGAGCCTGCAGTCGCCAGCTGCAGAGGACGGCGCCTGAGCAGGGACCCACCTGGGCTCTGCCCTGATGGGGGCGACAGACTCCGACAGTCACGCCAGCAGGTGGACCTGGCTGCCCGGGGCGGCTGAGGGGCCCCATGCGAGTGCAGCGGGGGAGGTGCCTGCGTGGCTTCCAGGAGCTGGGGTGCTTGGGGGACACCTCCTGGAGGGGAAAGGGAGAAACGTGACAAGGTGGAAGAGGCGTGGGAATTTTAGGCAGGGGGACGTTGTAAAGGCCCTGTAGTTAAAGGAACTGGTGGCATGCAGAGGGCTGAATAGAGACACTGGCCCCAGCTGAGAGGGTGGCGAAAGGTGAGACCAGATAGGCGGCGGAGGCCACGGCCTGCAGAATAGGTGTGAGCCTCTGGGAGGCACTTGGGTCTTCTTTATTTATTTATTTATTTTAAATATATCTTTATTGATTTCAGAGAGAGGAAGGGAGAGAGAGAGAAACATCAACGATGAGAGAGTCATTGATCGGCTGCCTCAAGCCCTCAACCCGGGCATGTGCCCTGACCGGGAATCGAACCGTGATCTCCCAGATCCTAGGTCGGTGCTCAATCACTGAGCCCCGCCCCGCCAGGCGGGGTCTTTATTTTTAAGAGCAGTGGGAAGCCGAGGAAGAGTCTTAAATAAGGGAGTGTGTCAGAGGTCCCCAAGGTCACCCCAGGTTCAGTGCTTTCCTAGGAGAGAAGACTTTACCACTGATGCTAATTTGTTCATTTTTTAAAATTCCACATGAGCAAGTTCTCAGTGTAAGAAACTAAAACAACAAGCTGGTAGATATTAGGCTGAATCACGTGAAATTGTCCATTTCTACCAGTTTTGGCCTACAGAAAGAGTAATTTTTTAAGTCTTTTGTTTCAGGAAAGTTTTCTTGAATTACGTCTTGAGCTCTTTGTTCTTTCCCGTCGTGGTGGCTTCTTTATCCAGAGATTCTAGTTATGTATATGTCGGACATATATGTGTCTATATGTAGTCGTTTTCCCTCCCTTCTTCCCTCCCCCTCAAACACTTCATTCCCACTCAGTTCTCTGCAGGCGGGGTCTGTCTTCCTCCAAAAGTGGCTAATAGGAAAACAAGAGTCTCTCTCCATTCTCCAGTTCACGCCCACTCCCTTCCCAGGAGTAACCATTTGGTATGAGTTGTTGATTTTTTTTTTAAAAATTAATTTTAGAGAGAAAAAGAGAAACATCGATTGGTTGCCTCCCGCACTGGCCCCAACCAGAGATCAAACCCACAGCCTGGGTATGTGCCCTGACTGGTCATCGAACCTGCCGCCTTTCGGTGCACAGGACGGCGCTCCAGCCAGCTGAGCCACACGGGCCAGGGCTCTGCCTCCCACTGTATGTGGCCTACTCCTCTGTGTGTCATCTCTTCTTATAAGACACCAGTCATCGGATTTAGGGCCCAGCCTAAATCCAGGATGATTTCGTCTCAGTATTTTTAATTACATCGGCAAAGGCCTGTATTCCAAGCCAGGCCACGTCCCGAGGTCCCGGGTGGGTGCGAATTTCGGAGCCGCCACAGTGCAACCCGCCGCGTCCCCCGAGCAGGCGGCTGCCCAGTCCCGGCTGCCTGGCTTTTCCTCCCCGTGTGTCCTGACACATGGGCTCCTCGTCACGCAGCCCAGGGGGCAGATCCTGGCTCTGCCGTTTTCCAAGGATGGACTTTGGATGTGTCTCCTCCCTCGCCAGAGACCTAAAATTATGGCCTCGACCTCAGTGGGTTCTTAGGAATTTAAATGACATAGCACCTTTAAGGAACTCAGTGTTGTGTTAATATAATAAATAATATCACTAAGTGTGAGTCATAATCGATGTCGTTGCTATTGTGTCTTGTTGGAGTTTTAGGGTGGGGATTTTGATTAATAAGCACATCGGGTCCCCAAAAGTGAGCTCTGGGAGGGAACGGGAAAATGGGGACACAAAGGACACCGGGCCCTGAGAATCGGGACTCGGCTGAATTTCTTAAAAAGTTCCATTTTCTGTGATTGTTGGATGACCGTGAACTAGGTTCTTCCTCTCCTGCAGATGGCAGCTTCAGAGTCTGTAAAAATAGACATTCATCAGAACACGTTTTCTCCATCTCGGTCTGTTTTTCTCATTCCTTCCCTCTCTCCCAGGTAGTAGTAATTTTTCCGGTAAACCTGTCACCTGTCAAAGAGGAGTGGGTGATTCGATGGTCTTCGAGGGACAGCTCCTGCAGGGTTTTTGTTAATTCCTCTCTTAGATATTTACGGAGCCCCTCCCTGTGGCTGGGGGAGGAAGAGCCTGGGCCTCCCCCCCAGAGTTGGCAGGAGCCAGGCACTCGCCAGAGGCACCGTGCTCACTAGTGAGTGGTGTGATGAAGCAGAGGAAGGACCCTCAGCCCGCGACGGCCTCCCGGGGGAGGTAAACTAGACGCCTGTAAGGCCTGAAAGGGAACTAGGGTGAGACAGGCAGACGGTATTCTGGACGGTGGGGACAGGCTGGGCAAAGTTCTGGAAGCAAGAGACAGCGCGATTTATTCTAGAGCCGAGAAGTGTTCAGTGTAGCTGGAGCGTGGCGGAGGCCGGGAGGACACCAGGGCCTGGGGGGACCCAGAGAGCTCTGCCTGTGTCCCGAAGGCAGCAGCTGGCAGGCATGGGGGTGCAGGTAGGGGAGAGCAGGGACACTGGCCGCTGCTGCGTGGAGAAAGGATGCGGGGCGGGGGGCCGAGTAGGGCGGCTGGTGCAGGTGTCCTGTGGGCCAGACAGGGTTAGACGGACAAGAGGAGGAGGAGGGTGAGTGGTGTTGAAGGGGTTACACGGGTGAGCTCCAGGGAGAGACAGGAGCCAGGGATGACTCTTAGTTCTGGGCTTGGGCTGCAGGGTGGATGCGATGCTGTGTCCTGGGGGACCATAGAGGGAGGAGGGGATGTGGGGGAAAGATAAGAAGTCAGTTCATTTTGGGTCACAGCAAACAGGATACCAGACCGCTGGCTGAGACTTTGAACATGAGCAGCGTTGAGAACACAGGTGTGCTGGGACCGCCGAAGGGGGAGAGTCACCCTGCACCGGGACAGGGTCAGGGTCCTCGAGGACTTCAGACGGCGTGGGGGCAGGGACATGGTACAGGACACGAAGGAGGGCGGCCAGGGATAGGAGAGAAATCAACAGGTGAGACCGTCAAAAAGAGCGGAGTCAACAGTGTGACAGTTAAGCAGGTGGGAGCCACCGTTGTGGGCTTTGACCTGAAGGTGATCCCAGAGAGAGTAGGGTCAGAACATAGTGGGACAGCAAGAGATAGTACAGGGGGGATGGGCATGGGGGGTTTCCAGTGCCGGGGACTCTACTGGTCTGGATTCTTGGGGTTGCAAGTGACAGAAACAACTCAGTTTAGCTTAAGCAGCAAAGGAAATCCATCAGGGCGTGTGACTGAAAAGCCTGGGGGTCGCAGAGGCCGGCCGCGGGCCAGCAAGCAGAGAAGTGAAATATCCATGGACGGTGATGAAGTTGGAGGAGTGGAGATGGGAGTTTTCGATGCTGAAGAATAGTAATAACAGCCGTCACCATGGAGGGCCAGGCACTTGCGGTTGGTCCCCTGCTTTCCTCGCTGAGTCAGTCCCTGTGTCCACCTGAGTCAGTCCTTCCGTCCGGGCTCGGTGCGGAGAACTCGAGCGGAGAGCCCAGGCACAGAAAAAGATTTCTGGTGGATTTTAGAGGCCCCAACATTTTCATGATGAGCTATTTTGTTGGCCTTTTCTGGAACTTTTCTGCTTCTGAAATGACAGAATTTTGACTTAAAAGCAGAGTTGTTTTCTGCTCTGCTGGGTGCTGTAAATATTTTCATCCCGGATTACTAAAAGTTGCTCTCTTACTGGTCGCAAGGTTTCAGAAGGCAAAATTTCCTCTCCCGTAAAATATAAATGTGGTTTTTGCAAAGCATCCAGAAGCTCCACCGTGCTGCAAACTGTAAGCACAGGAGGTTTCTATCTGCCAGGTGAGGTGTTTAGGGGGGAAATTGTGGCCAGTAGCTATCCTTGGCCAGCCCTGGGAACCAAGTGACAGAGGGACCAGCCTGAGACAAGCCGCAGCCCAACATGGGAAATGGACCAGTGCCCTCAGCCAAG